CTCCATCTTTACGATTAAAATCTAAGTTGGTTCAACTTAATTTCGTTTTTAAAGGTGAAAGCAAATTATGTTTGTAGTACTGAACTAATTGAGTTAATCAGATTTATAAATGGGTACTCAGATTAATTTAATCGATCAAATTGGAAATACTTAAGATCAACGCAAATTGTTACCTCAATTTATTTAAGTAGAGCCGGCGTATTTTCTTTTTTTAGTGTATATTTTAGTTTATATGTGGAGCTTCTCGTATAACTTGCACAAATGTTTATTTTGTCAAACCAATACTGTAATTTTTGTTTTTGGTGATATTGTGGATTTCTATCTCTCTAGTCTAACCACATGTCAAAATAAAGACACCAGTAGATGGGCTACCTTTTTATTTCCTGTGTCTGTTCATTCCAAACTAATCTTTGCTAATTGTTTCTCCATAAAGCATGTCAAGGCATTTTTCACAATTTATCTAAACCTCCAGTTTAAATGACTTTGTTTTACTGACTTTAGTATCATTTAACTATGACATGCTGGTCCTCTTGCTAGTTGCCAAAATGAATAGGTTTGAGTGAAGTGTGTCATGACCAATGTCGTTTTTAGACTTCATATTAAAGTGGCAAGGATGGATGTTTTCCACTTAACTGGAAAAGAAGAAGCACTTTAGTTATTTAAATACTTTACGTTGCATTATTTCTTGTATGTCTATAATTTGAACAGTAGGTGGAAAAAAGATAATGGAAATGAAATGCTGCATATTCTACAGCATGTTGGCATTGTGGTTACATTCATCACATTACAGTTTGTACTCACTATTTTAAATAATCCTTAGCTTTCTTCCATTACTGTTATACACTTTAACGCTGTATTCCAATGTTTATTTTCCATTGTTTATTGGATGTATTTTCTGTCGGCCGAAGTCTGGCTCGTCTGTCTGGAATCCTTTTCACACACTAAGGAAATATTACTTAGGAGCTCATAGTGCCTCCCATTGTGTGTGTTAGAGAAATGGCTCTATAGCAGAGTGTGTTGTTGGATATCCATTTGGGGCTATATTGATAGAAATATGTTTTATGCATATTAATTGATAAGGAAATTAACACATTTATAGAGCTCCTCATAGCTGAAAGGGGGTCCCCTGGCGTCCACATTTTGTATTTACGCACTTGCATGGATCAAAATAAGAAGTTGCGCACGCATCCGTCGCCATTTTTGAAAATCAGGAGGTGTGCGCCATCCGGTCCACAACAACCTCCTCAATTTCTGTTTAATTTAATCGCTTTCTACAAGTACTTTTTCCACGAATGGCTAAGCGAAACATGCATCAAGCGACCATGCAAAGCAGTAATTCTCCCCAACCAGCTTTACGCACCACCGACTGCCCGGAGGAATCAACGGGGAACAAAGACAGTCCAGAGCCGAAGGAGGAGCTTTCTCCTGGGGCCGAACCAGCAGAAGAAGCCGTGGAAGGAAGCGAGGAACCCCGGGATGAAATGACCCTGGATATCAACAGTTTTAGGAAGCCTGGAGAGAAGACTTTCACTCAGAGATCCCGGCTTTTTGTGGGGAACCTCCCGGTGGATATCCCCGAGGAAGAGTTCAAAGATATGTTTGCTAAATATGGAAATATCAGCGAGGTGTTTATCAACAGAGAGAGGGGCTTCGGCTTCATTCGCTTGGTAAGTCCTTGTGATTTAAAGTGTGTGTTGGAGTGTTTCCTGTTACATGTTTCTCCACAAATAATCATGCAAAACCCCCACTTTAAATCATGTGTTTACCATTGATAAACACATAAGATCATTAGAAATAAGCGTGACAAAACATTTATTGACTACAGAAATATTTTTGATTCATTCAAGATTCAAAGGCTTTGTTGTCATATGCATAGTAGCTAGAGTGTAGATATGGCAATGCAAATCCCAGGCTACTCCAACAACGCAACATAAAAATATATACACAATATTGTGCAAAAAGAACAGAAATAAAATAAAACTGCAAGAGAATGTTCCAAATGAACGTGCAGCTCAATGCGTGAGAAGTCGACTATATGCATGTCAAATAGAATAACAAGAGGTCAAAAAAACACTGCTACTAATATTGTAGTAAAAATACATATGTGGAATGCAAACAGATGCACGCTTATTCTAAACCTAAGACAACAAGGACCAATTAGTCGACTAAGAGAGGGCAGCCCTTTTTGAATGTTTAGTTTGAACCTTGCACAGAAAGTTGTGCAAGTTTCTGGACCGTCAGATATCTTAAAGTTTAAACGACTATTTATATACTTATCATTCAGCCCTAATTGAAACCTTAATGTGCATCACTGAGGTATCATCAACCATTTTCTTGTATCTCTTGTCTTCTAGGAAACACGGACACTAGCAGAGATTGCTAAATGTGAGTTGGATGGGACTGTGATGAACAATCGACCAATCAGGATCCGCTTTGCTACACACGGTTCTGCACTCACTGTACGCAACCTGTTACCTGCAGTGACCAATGAGCTGCTAGAACAGGTAGGACAAGAGTTTCAACACTTCAGAAATTCATTTAGATTAGGATGTTTGTCAATCTTACTTCTGCAGAATTGATGATTTCTGTGTAACCTGCAGGGCTCTCGACTAACTTTTTTCACCATCCTCCCGGAACCGTCCCGAAATACAATCTAAGCCGTCCCGAAATTAATGTGGACCGTCCCGAA